GGGGGCTCGATCCCAGAATCCTGGGATCATGACCTGAGCCGAAGGCAGATGCTTAACGACTGAGCCACCCAGGTGCCCCCAAAATTTTATCTTATCTTTTTTTTAAAGTTTTTTTCTAAAGATTTTATTTATTTATTTGACAGAGAGAGACACACAGCAAGAGAGGGGACACAAGCAAGGAGAAGAGGAGAGGGAGAAGGAGGCTCCCGGCCGAGCAGGGAACCCGATGTGGGGCTTGATCCCAGGACCCTGGGATCATGACCTGAGCTGAAGGCAGACGCTCAACCGACTGAGCCACCCAGGCGCCCCTACCCCAAAATTTTAATTTGTATCTCCTTTGACCCTGTCATTTCCTGTCCAGGTGACATTTTGGGCAAATATCAGAGTACAGATATGTTTAAGGCTATATGTTGCTTTACTGTAATCCAGAAATTGTGCAAAGGCCCAACAAGAGGGAACAGATTCAATGTATATACATGGTCACTTCCCAGGGAAATGCCATGGGCAGACATGAAAAAGAATGAAGTAGTTCTTTACAGTGTACTATTTACAATACCTCAGTAAGTAAAACAAGCAAGTGGAGGACCAAGAGACTCCCACTTGTGTAAAGCAGGGTGACTCTGTGTGATCTGTGTCTGCGCCCAGCATGGTACCTGGTGTCTAGGGGGCACACGAGAGTTAAGTGTGGGATGGATGAAACCACTCGTAAGTTACCATGGCAATCTGGCTAATAAAATGCTGATCGTTAGCAAGGATTTGGGAACCCAAGCAAAAAAAACCTACACCTTCCATTAATTAGACTTCTCATTTCCCAAGAATCCTATAGACATTGGCATTTTCACTATATGCTTTCACTATATGCTTCCTTTTCCAGATCTTAAATTTTAAAAAATAGGAGCTAAGACCCCTTAGGCACCAATCCCTGCGAGGCACTGCTGTTTACCATTCTCCGTCACGAGGAGGGCACATTCATCCTTTGGGATTTCTTCCTTCAGTGAAGAAAAGCCCCAGTGAAGCCATTCAGTTTCTTCGAGGTATGAGAACATTTTTGGCACAGAACCTTGCCAAACACTTTTGAAAAGTCTCAGTAAGCTAAAACCCTCAGTCTCCTCTGCTGACATCTTTTTTTTTTTTTTAAGTTTTTTTTTTTTTTTAATTTACTTGACAGAGAGAGAGAGAGATCACAAGCAGGCAGAGAGGCAGGAAGAGAGAGAGGGAGAAGCAGGCTCCCCGTCAAGCAGAGAGCTCAATGCGGGCCTCAATCCCAAGGACCCTGAGATCATGACCTGAAGCAAACGCAGAGGCTTAACCCACTGAGCCACCCAGGTGCCCCTGCTCACATGTTTTTGCTGACTACTGGAGCTTGGGGATGTCAGTCAGCTCCACATGACTGTTCCCGGAGAAAGCCCGGGGCTTTTGTTCTAATCCTCGACCAGCCTATTGGTTGTGGATGTTGTGGAGGCCAAGAAAAACAAGGCTGTACCCACCTCGAGTATAGCCCTGACATAAGTACAGCCATCTTGACAAAGCAAAAGCTGGCACCTTGCACCCCCTCTCTACCCGCTCCCCTCCCCTCGGTAGTATGTGTGACATTCCTCAGCCACCCCTGGCTGCCCTAAAAGAAAAACAAATAGTTAACTTGCAGAGATCACAATCCTGCAAGACAGAAGTCTCCCTTGGTTTACAAATGTCCTAGAGATTTACAACAAAGAAGCTGTCTTAACAATAGCCTAATTCCCAGAGGCAAATAACTCAGTTCCCCAAGCCCTAATGTGGCCCTCCCCACCATAAAACTGAAGGAGGCTGAGGCAGAAGGAAATGTAAATAAAGTTTAATTTCTTCTAAACCTAAATCTCACTAACAAGGACACTTGATAGGAGAAATGTGAAACTTTATCTCTAAACCTCCAAGATAGTGTCAGCGATCATTCCCAAGCATATGACCCACTGATATACATCTAAAGGGTCTAATGAGAAGATTTTTTATTACTAGTAATAAATAACCTTTCTCCCAACAATATCTAGCCCCTCAAGGTCCTGGAGACCTTGCTTCCAAAATTCCTTAGAGACTAACATCATCCCCTTTGTCCT